AGGGAGAAATTAAAGAAACAGGATCCGCTTTTCATTCTTTTCTTATTTTTCTTTTGTTGGGTTATTGAGCCAAGCCAACTTTTGAGCTCAATTTAATAATTTAAACAGTTTAATTTTAAAATTTATTAAACAGTTTTTTGAATACATAATTTTTAATATCGATTAATTTAATTTTTTACATGCATGATATACTCAATAAATTTTAAAATATGAATGGTTCAGATAATCGAAATTGAGCCCAAAAAATAGGCCCCATAGCCTAACAAGTAGGAAAGTAAAGAGAATAAAAGGAAAAAATCCTGATTCGAAATTAAAATCAATAATGGGAGCCAGAAAAAAAGAAATTGACTAAAAAGTAATTAAAAAATAAATTATGTGGTGCAAATTTATTTTAAGTACACCACACATCACACTCATTACTAAATAATTAATTTTTTGATGGACTAAATTATTTTAAATACAACATGCACGACACACTAAGTGTATTTTTTTTGAATTTTTACAAAAAAATGTACAGAAAAGTAAAGAAGTGATGTGATAAAAAAAGATAAAAAGATAGATTATTTAGGGGATGGCAAACCACTCCTAAATTTAAACCAATTCTTTAATTTTATATAAAATTTTCATTATTTTAAAATTTATGTCTCTAAATCCCTGGCAAATCTCACGTTAAATACTCACTAATTATAATAAGTTTTTTGGGATCCTGACTTTAAATGGGACCACCGTAAGTGGGTGGTGGAATTGATCTCTCAAAATTAGTTCACGTGTATATAATTAATCTAAATACCTTATTATTAAATAAAAAAAAGGGTTTTTTTTTAAGCTCCCTAATAATAACAATTTTCTGGTAAAAGGACATTAAAAAATGTAATACTGCCTCAGGTCCCTAACCAAAATACCCGCGCATTTTATCAATTTCTTGGACCAAAATACCCTACGTCTGTTCATCTTCAAATGAGTTGATTTTTTTGACCTGAATGGTGCAATTTCAATGCGTGTTTAAACATTTTCAATCACTGATCAGAGCTTCGATTCTCGACTCCAGATCTTCTTCGACATGTATGCATTATTATTTTTTCTTTTCAAAAAAAATTAATAGATGTATATATATTATATATATTACAATCTGTTGCTTACTGTCTTGACTAGTATTATATGATAATTAATCAATTAAGACCATTTGCAACCATAATCAAACAGTCACTTTTAGTTATCTTATCTATGGTTGCAAACATATATATATACATATATGATCATACATATATATATATATATATCCAGTGTTGATATAACATCTTCAGGTTCAAAATTTCTCTGAGTGTTGAATATAACGTCTTTTGATTTTTTGGGTTTAGTAGAATTGGAGTTGTTTCTGGAAAAGCAATATTTGGACCCCTACTTGAAGAATATTTGGAAAAAGAAGCTTGAGGAAGAGGCAGCAGTAGAGGAAGGCTTAAAGTAATCCAGAGAAATTTGAATTTTCTCTGGATTTAACCCAGAGAATTCATACCATTAAGTTTAAAGAAAATCTATCACAAACTCATAGAAGAACTATTAATTTGGTTTGTGCAGGAAATTGTGATTGAATCAGCAGCAGCAAAACCAATGACAATTGATCAAATCAGAGTTTTTATCGTTCCAGAGAAATTCTGGACCAGAGAAATTTGAATTTCTCTGGGTTGAATCCAGAGAAATTTCTTAGAAGTCCAGAATTTCTTTGCTCCCAACTGATGATGGGTTGCTTTCCTTCCAACTGTCAAAATTGAACTGCTTTCTGTGCATTTGGGGCTTCTTATTGAAGCTTCTTTGTTCTTGTTTTTTGTAAATTTCTCTGGCTTGCTACATTTGTGTTTCTCTATTGTGTAATTTTATCTGGCATGTTTATGTTTCTTCATTATTTTCTCAAGCAAATTATCTATGGCTTACTACTCTATTGGTGTGGCTAATTTTCTCTGGCATTTATAATTTTCTCTGGCCAAATTACTTTTCTTACTTGTGTGTCTAATTTTCTCTGGCAGCATTTATAATTTTCTCTGGCCACATTATGTTTATGTCTTGTGTCTAATTTTCTCTGGCATATTTATTTTGTTCAATGTTCATTTCCTCAAAATTCTCTATTGTGTAATTTTCTCTGTCATGTTTATGTTGCTACCTTGTAATTTTCTCTGTTGTGTAATCATTGCTACCTTATTAATTTTCTCTGGGATTTAATGTTTATGTTTTCATTCTATAGAAATGGCAAAGTACAGAAACAGCACAACCCCAGAAATCCCGAAAAAGAAACCAAAAGTCTCTGTGTCTGCGTCTTATGATCTTAGATCAAAACGCAGTAGCAGCACCAGAACACCACAAAAAAAACAAGTCCACGTTGAAGAAGCAATAAGCATCAAGATCAAGACACCAACTTCAAGTGTGATTTTCACTCAACTACAAGCTTAACATTTTCTCTGTCATTTTTCATTGGATTATAATAACAAAACCTACGATTTTCTCTATACTACAAAGAAAAGTCCATAAACATGAATAGTGCAAAAAAAAAAAATGAAAAGTGCAAAGAAAACATATCAGAAACTTTGAAAAGTGCAAACATATAAAAACACATAAAAACCAAACATATAAGTCAGAGAAATTTGTAATACTTATCATTTGTAATACAATCATATGATTTTCTCTGGACTACAAAGAAAAGTCCAGAGAAATTTGTGAACTTATATTCACTTTCAATATAACAAAAACAAAAACACATTAACATCAAGAGACAAAATATATTAAACACAAGCACATAAAAAAATCACAGAGAAGATCTGTTATGTTCACAAAACATTCAATTCAAAAAAATTTTTTAAAAAAAACAAAACACTTACTACTCTATTGCTAGGTCTGTAAATTTCTCTGCCTACTTACAATTTTCTCTGTAAATTCACTGCACTACAAGCTTACAATTTTCTCTGTGATTTGAGTTCAATTATAGTAACAAACCTGCAATTCTCTCTGCACTACACAAAAAATGCAAAGTGAACAAAAAACAGAACACAAAACGCAGAAAAAACAGAGCACCAAAAAGCAACTCATAACCATGTTGACAGAGAATGAAAAAAGCAACTCCAAAAATCAAAATTAACTCCATCGAAAATTCATCAATAACAAATAATGAAAAATTAACTTCAAAAATCAAAAACAACAACACTTAAGGCCTCGTTTGGCAAGAGGCTATTTTAGCCAATTAGTCAAAAAGTTACTAAATTAGCCAAAAAGCCAACAACCCATACCAAAAAGTCAAAGATTCTCTTTTCTCTTTACTTTTTGCACATCTTTTCGTAATTAGCCAAAAAGTCATCACAAACATACAAGTTTTTTTTACTTACCTTTTTAGCCAAATAGCCAAAAAGTTACTTAATTAGCCTGTTCCCAAACGAGGCCTGAATTCGTCTCTCTCACATTGATCAAAACTAAAAACAAAAACCTAATTCAACACCTACATGATCAAATCAAATCAAAAATTGAAAACTTATCTAATTCAACTCCACATGAAATCAAATCAAACACAATGAACCAGATTTCAACTCCTACACAATCAATCAATACCTACAAACAACGAACATGATTTCAACTTGTACAGGATTTCAACACCTACAAACAACGAACAGGATTTCAACACCTACAAAAACCCTAGGAAATCTCCACAAAAATCTGAATCGTCAAGTTCATCCTTACGTAATCTCCTACAAAATATCAATATGATCTTTAGCTGCCAAATTGAAAACAACGTATATTATAAACAAGGGTAAGACAGGTATTTTACACTCTAAAATAACATTGAGGGACCTTAGGCTATAAAAGAACACATTGTGGACCTAATCCATTACTAAAAGTTGGATAGGGACCTTAAACCGATTTTCCCTAAAAAAAAACCTCTTGCATAACATGAGGTTAAATAGCTACTATCTATTAGTAGTAAGAGCATCTCTAATGACAAATGTTATAATAACATTATTATTGTTAAATTATGATAATGAATAGTAGGAAATGGATGAAAAATAGCAATGGTGCTCAAATAATTCAACTGTCATTTTTGCTATTTTGGCACAAAAACTGGTGTGTTTAGACAATCGGCCGGACGTCCGAACATACCAATTTCTGTGTTTCTTCTACAAAAATGGCAGATATGGCAGTTGCCATTTCTCCCCATTGGAGCACATTTTTCCATTTCTCCTGTCAAATTATGAGTTTAGCCACTCTCATTAGAGATGCTCTAAACAAACTCAAAATGGCCCTATTTGGGAAGGTTTATTTGGATTAAAATAGTCAATCAAAATAAAATATGTGAAAATAACTAATAAGATAAAATATTACATTCAATTCATAATCATTTTTTTTACAACCCTTAAATCAATTACAAAAAAAAAAAATCAATATTTTCCTATACATATAACTTTTTTAGTTGACTTCGTTTAGAAATATATTATTTTACTGATTTTTTGATTTTATATAAAAATTTTTTGTAAAAACATAAAAAATGATGTGACAATTTATATTAACTTTTTAATTAATTTATTTATTTTGATTAAAGTTAAGAGTTATGATAGGAACCTCAAATAAATTACTAAATTTTCTACCAAACCTCTCACATGGGTGTGGAACACACACATGTGATTTGTGTTGATCGCACATCTATGTGTGAGATTTGATAAAAAATTTAGAGAAATGTTATATATATCAAATATTTTACCAAACCTCTCACATGGGGTGAGACTCACACAAATCTACATATGTATAGATCCCACAACCATATAAAAAATTGGATAAAATATTTAATAGAATATTTAAAATTCCTAACCTAACTAAAAAAATTAATAATTTAAATTTTTTTTTTGAACATAATTTAATAATTCATTTGGTCCATAACATTTTTCTAAATTAAAAGTTGCCAAGCCCACTTGTCAGAGGAGGCCAATATTAATCTCACGCGCTGTTCACCCAACTGTCCACTCTCCCATCTCCAATTTATACTCTCTACATCCACTCTGTATCTCTTTTGTTTCAGCTTTGTCTGCGGTCAAAGACCCCATCATATCTTTCTATATTATATATGAATTGTATGTATGCAATCACAATGTGGTCTCTCTCATCATCTCTCTAAGTTTTCAGTAGGAAGGAGGAGTGAGTGAACCTCCTCCACCATAACTGGATCCAACCGACAAAAAAGAAACAAAGTGAACAACTCAATTGGGAGCTGTAATGGATGCTACCACTTCTAAGCTGTATCTTCTTGTATATATCGTGTTTTTCCTTCACTTGATTTTCTTCCATAGCTTCGGATTCGCAGCCATTCCCAAGCTCCACCCCGACGAAGGTATATTATACCTCAACAATATTCAAATCTTTTGTTTAATTACAGCATTATTTCGTTTTTCTAGCGGTTTCTCGGGAACCAAACAATACAATGTTGTTGTGAAAATGTAATCATTGATTGATTGATGATTGGGAGACAGTGAAGACGCTGAGAGAGATAGGGAAGAGATTGGGGAAGAGAGATTGGGATTTCAGGAAGGATCCGTGTAGCGGAGAAGGGAATTGGAGCCCTCCTGTTCTCGTGAAGGGATTCGAGACCTCCGTCACTTGCGATTGCACTTTCAACAACAATGCCACCTGCCATGTCGTCGCCATGTATCTACTCTCTCTCTCTCTAGATTAATGATTTATTTACGAATTTATTTAGTCCGAATGAGCCTCTTTGGTTCATACGAATTCAAACTAAATAAATTCAGTGAATGTATGGGTGTTGTATATATATATATATATAGGCATCTACATCTGCATATATGGATTCTACACATGCAGTTAGGGTGTGTGCTTGATTCGTTAATTATAAATTTTAAAATTTAAATCGCGGTTACTGGTTAGAGCGGCACAAATTAATACAAATCAATGTGATTTTAACAAATTAGATGATATTTTACATAGCCTATCCACAGCAACTTCTACTTGTCAAGTAGAAGAAAGTGGCTACTATACATGTTTTTTCAAACGCAAATTTTGCATAATTCAATGACTTCATTCAAATCCCTTTATTTATTTTCTTGAATTTTAATTCTGGGATTTGTGGAGATAAATTAATTCTTATCCGACATTTACTAAACAGAAATAATATTTGTACGATTAAAATACAAAAAAATATATTAAAAAAATATAATGAATAGTTAAGATTCATCTTAAATGTTAGGTCATGTGTAAATATAATTTTTCTGGACTTGAATACTAAAGTCACATAAGAAAAGAGTGTATAATGAAATTTTTAATTCTACGCTTAATACTTCACTAATTTAAATTTTAACAATGTTAGGTGATTCAAATTTTCATGACTCGAATGATTCAAATGTGTTCAGACGACGTCGTTTTGAATGTAAAATGATGTTATTTTGACGCATTTGAACCATTCGGACCACCAAACATTTTTCTTTAAATTTGATAATACATTTGTTTGGAACTTGGAACCTGTCCAAACTTTTGCGCTAACTGTTAAAATAAACCGTATATATATTTTTTTTTATGTCGGTAGTTGGTGTACTTCGAGCATAACACTATTTTTGGATATTTAAGTAAGAAAAAAAAAAAAGTGATTTGTTAAGGCTAAGTTTGAGAAGTTGAAAATAATTCATTTTTTAATTATTTTTTCATTATATTATTTCTCTACTTTTTTGCACATCTTTTCATAAAAAGATAAAAAATACATTTATTTAGGTCATCCCAAACAATCCCTTAGTTAAAAATAAAAAGGAAATAAAATGAAATGGCTATGATTTATCTTCCTCTTGCTTGGTTTAATTGGAAAGACAAGAAAATGAAAATATAGTGAGCCTCCGTTTGAAAAGTGGGTTGGCTTTTTAGCTTTTTGACTTTTTTGGCTATTTGAGCCTGGGCTCAAAAGCTTGATTTGGGAAGAATTTTTTGACTTTTTAACTCTTTTTGTGAGAGAATAGTGTAATGATTATGGGTTGGATGTGATGTTTTGTATGTTGTAACTCAAATAGCCTATTCTGTTTTTTGTGATTCAAAGAGCCAAAAAAACCCAAATGAATTCTTTTCAAACGACACCTAATTTCTATCCAATCTTATTTGGATAGATTACATTAAAAAAAATAAGATAAAAAAAACTCTTGCAAGTTATATTATTAAAATAATCTTTTATTTTTTTTATTTCTTTTGTTAGTAGATGGACAATAATATACAAATTAGTAATCTTTTCCTTTTTTTTTCTCCCAACCTCTTTAATTTAGAAGAGATTCAAAAAATGAGTTATGTCTATTTCTTTCTTTCTTTCCTTTTCTTTTCTTTTCTTTTTTCTCATTTCTCTCTTATTTAATAATTCAAACAAGTGATTAACATCTTAAAGAGATTGATTTTTTTTTTTATATATATATTTTCTCTCCAAATTATTCAATTCAAACTAGGTGTAAAAGTCTCTACTTACCCTTATTTTCTCATCTCGAAAGGAAAAGTCTGCAAAATTTTCCTTGAAAACAATCAATCTCGCCGGAAACTGATTACTCCAAACGAATTCCTGAAGTAGATTGGGGGTTTCCGGGAAAGATAGGTGTGTGGCAATCTAGAATGCACACAACGTTGACTTTAAAGCAGTCAACGATTCAATCGTACCATTCTGTTTTAATGGACAGGTTGGCAGCTGACTTCACTTGTAAAGTTGCCGAAGGCCAGATGTACGATATTTTACTCCCATATCTGTAGGCCCCTCTCGCGTGCTTTTTTTTTGTTGAGAAATTTCGGGTATGTTTGGTTTGAGTTTGGAAGATGAGTTTTAGAGATAAAAAGTATGAAAAGTTGTTTGGTTTGGTTTTTTTTAAAAGATGTTTTGAAAAATTATTTTGAGAGAGAGTTTTGAAAAAAGTGATTGATTTGATGTGTATGAGAGAGATTTGTTTGAGAAATTTTTTTGAAAAAATTTATTTAGTTTAATTACTTTTGAAAACTTATTTGTAGAGAATTTTTCCCAAAAATTTTTGGGAAACACAAACCAAACAAGGCCTTCATCTGTGTGTACTTTAAAAAATAATTATAAATTAATAATAAACTTTACTAATATTAATAATTCAATTCTTAAATTTTTCCATCAGTTTGTAATAATTTTCTGGAAATGCAATTGCGTGGTAATTTCATTTCTCTTTGTTTTTTCTTTTTTCTTTTTTTGTGTTTGTGTATAATTTTTTACTTTTTTTTCGTACAAGTATTCGCATTAGTGCTGTTGATTATTTTATATCTTCCTAAAATAATTAATTATTAAAGTTTGTAAAATTTATCACATATCTGAAAAAAAAAATTCAAATTTTACTGAATTGTTATTATTATTATTATTATTATTTTTACGGGTACAAAAAAGTGTTTTTAGATACATATAAAAAATTAATGGTGAGAATTGAATAAATGAAATTGATTGACAATGAATAAAATAAGATACAAAAGCTTTAAACTAATCTTAAAATTTAGCCAAATTGTCAAAGTATTATTAAAAGTCTGATAACATATGAACTTCTTTATTTCATATTTTTAAAACCAATCTTTAGGCTTGAGGTAAATAAATTCTCTAACCAATGATAATTTGATTGCACCTCAAACTTGAATTCGGCCGGTCAATGACTAGGGACCAAAAAGTACAAGCTTCAATAATACATTTCTAATGTTGCCAGTGCAGTGGTGAACCCTATTCTTTGAAAGAACAAAAAGCTTTATAGTTTTTTTTTTTTTTTTTTTTTTTTTTTTTTTTTTTTTTGTTGGGGGGGGGGGGGGGGGTGGTAAGTATCAGTTTTTTTTGTTAATACTGCTGAAGGCTTCTTTCCTCTGCTGCTCTAATTTGTTGTACAAAACAATGCAGGGCTTTGAAAGCCCAAAATATTTCAGGACAAGTGCCGCCAGAGTTTTCAAAGCTTCGCCACCTTCAAACATTGTAAGCAAAACAAAACCTGTTGTAGAATTCCATATTTTATTTGTAACTCATGGGAAGTTTTGCTGCATCTGTCATTCATTTGATATTATCCAAACAAATCAAAGCAACAAAACAATTACAGCAAATAACGCTAGATTTAACTTCTGATATAAAAAAATAGAAAACCCACTAATCCTGTATTTTTTTGTCATGCAGGGACCTTAGTCGCAACTACTTCAACGGTTCAATACCTTCCCATTGGGCTACCATGCGCTTGGTTGATCTGTATGCACAGCAGCTACCATTTTTAGTATGTTTCTTTTGTTTTTTGAAAAATAATTCACATAAACATGTAAATGTTTGTTGCTTGATATTGCAGCTCTGTCATGGGAAACCAGTTGTCCGGTCCATTCCCAATAGTTCTCACCAATATCACCACCCTTGCAAACTTGTAAGTTGGACTGTCTTCTTAATAAAAAATGACTGGTTGATTTAAAAAATGGTTCCATAAGAATCCTGTCCTGATATGTTTGTAACATAGGGAAAAATGCCTCAAATATACATGATGATGATGATGATGATGATGATAATTGATAACAACACTTGAGCCTGGAAACATAATTAAACCATTATAAATTCCAGTCCTTGTAATGAAAAGAAATCAGAAAGTAGTTATCACAGAAACCATAAATTATTAAATATATATTGTCAAATGTTACCCCTCCCAGAGCTCCATCCAATGGGGACTAAACTTGGCAGACTTTTTATTCGTTTTGGAGCCTAATGCAGTTATGCTTTAATTTCTTCAGTCAATTTTAAAGCATTCATGACATGTCCAACTAAAACCAGTTTTTTTCAGGGGGCTGAGTTGGTCTAAGCTAGATTTTACTAGTTCTTGCTATGAATTTTCAACTGATAAATGTAGCTTTGCTTCAAGTTAATGTGAATACGTGCATCTTACAGGAGCATTGAAGGAAACCGCTTCTCAGGGACCATTCCCCCGCAGATTGGGAAATTGATTAAATTACAAAAGCTGTAATTATTTCACCATGATTATGCACATCAGTTCTTGAAAGTTGGTTGGTAATAACTGCTAATTTCATGTTCAATGTATTGTCTTTATGTCACTGCCATTGTATTTTCAGTGTTCTATCATCAAATTCTTTCATGGGAGAATTGCCAGTGGCACTTGCTAAGTTGATCAAATTGACTGATATGTGAGTATACATTTTATTTTTCACTGATGTTAATCCATTTTACATTGATGTTTTTGATGTCTATTTCACATTAATTATTTTCCATTTGATGAATTAATTTTTTCCTCTCTTACCACATAAATTCACTGCACTAACAATTGGTTTATGAAAAAGACAAAAGAAAATAATGAAACAAAAGATAATAACAAAGGCAAAGGCAAATGTAAAATAATAAAGCTTCCCATGTACAAGCATATTCCTCTTCTCTACTTCTTAATTGTGATGCTATTTTGTTTTGATGTTTCCTTTTCATGGTTCAGCACTGCCATTTGGGTTTAACAATGCTGATTTTTTCCATAATTGAATTGAATCCTACTAAATGTTTGTCCCTTCGATACATTTTAGGAGGATAAGTGACAACAATTTTGTTGGAAAGATACCATATTTCATTGGGAACTGGACAAAGATTGAGAAATTGTAAGCTTTCTATTTTTCTAAAAGCTTCAATGTTAGCTTCTTCTACTCCATTGCAGGTGCATGGGAAGTCAATAGTTGTGTAGGAAGCCAAAAATAGTGTTCCAATAGGGAATCCTTGTTAGTTGAATTTATTCATCTTATTTATACAAAACGCTGATTATTTACTTATGTTACAACTTACAGGCTCATACAAGGTTGTCCACTTGAGGGACCAATTCCTTCTAGCATTTCTACTTTGACAAGCTTAACTGATCTGTATGTAATCACAATACGTTATTTCTTTCGTATTTCTTCAACAAAAAGGTGAATGTGATGACCTCTTTTTTTTTTCTTTTTTTTTTTTTGGATTGTAGGAGGATTAGTGACTTAAAAGGTGGAGGGTCTAATTTTCCACCATTAAGTAATATGGAATCCATGAAAGTGCTGTGAGTTGGCTTTGCTGCTTTCTTCTAAGACACAACTTGGTATTCTCTTTTTAAAGTAAAAATTAAACTTAGATGTCTGATGCAGGGTACTAAGGAAATGCTCAATCTATGGAGAGATACCTAGATATATTGGGGATCTAACAAAACTGAAAACTCTGTAAGGAACTTGTGTTCATTTTTTTAATGCTTGCGATTGAAGATGTCACTCTGATTAATGGTTTGGAGAATTACATGCCTGGAGTTAGTGCAGAAAGTCTTATCATAAGTGTTCTTGCTGCACATCATACAATTATTGAGTTTACAAGAATTCTAAATTTCTTTGAAGGGTGCAGAAATGTCTTCCATGTATCTTTTCTTGTCCCACTTTTCAGATAATTGCAGGACATATTAGCCTTATTTCATCTCATGTTATTCAGGTTATTTAATACTACATCTTGGATTTCACCTATACTTCTGTATGAAAGATCATAACTCAATTCAATAGTATGGAAAGATTTATTTCAACTTGAAAATCACTGGGATAGGTCGTAAAGGTGCTCTGAATTTACAGGTTTGGCAAGGCATCTGTACCTGACCTAGTTTTGGTTACCATTAGATGGCATTGGACATTGTTTCATTTGTTGTTTGTTTATCAAATTGTCTTCTATTGTCCTTGAATATAGCATCAGTTGATTGTGTGGACTTGAGTTGCAGGATTTTACTTCCAAATAGGAGCAACAAGTATCAGTTGAGTTGTCATTATGATGCTTAAATAGAACCCAATAAAGGGATCAAAATCTTCGGGTGTACTGGTGTAGTATTTTCTAAAGTGGATTCAAATCTATTCAAATACAATTTTTTGGATAGGTGGTGCAGCAAGATCAGTTATTGCTTGCTCTAGGTGGTTATGTATCAAAACTATTCTATTATACCTGCATACTGCATCCTTCGTTATAACGTTGCAATCATTGAGGTTTTATTTCTTTTGAAGTTAATAGCCAGATTCTTCTGATAAAAATCCAAGCCTAGTAATTTTGCTAAACTATTATGCTATCAGTTAGCATTCATTGATTCTATATTTGGTGGACTTATGTTCGTGCTCTTTGTCAATGTAGAGACCTCAGTTTCAATCACTTGAGTGGTGAAATTCCAACATCTTTTGTCCAACTAGCTAAAGTAGATTTCATGTAAGTGGATCTCTAGCATACATTCTTCTTTTTCCTGACATCTGCTCATTGATGGAGACATGAGAATGTTGTTTGTAGGTATTTGATCTTTTCTTATGTATGTTCGTTAAACGACACTACAAGGATGTTTTTTGTAGGTATTTGACGGGGAACCAACTTACTGGACAAATACCTGGATGGATCCTTTCAAGAAACAAGAATGTGTATGTACACTTTTCACATTAATCAATTTATCATCCGACTTTGACAATTTGTGACATCAATTTCCATGAAAGAATAATGCAGGTTATTGTTCAACTTGTTTAAAGTTCTTAGTTAAGACAAATATTAATGTTTTCCCTCTATTTTAATATACAGGGATATTTCTTATAACAATTTCACTTGGGAAAGCTCAAGTCCAGTTGAATGTCCTCGAGGGAGTGTGTGAGTGTAATTTTATTTGTTCCTTCTGTTTTTATCTCACAGAACTACATAGAAATGTAATAGTAAATCTCTTCACTGACTTTTCAGAAATTTGGTCGAGACCTACTCTGCCGCCTCCACCAACAAATTGTAAGATTCTTGTGCCTGTATTTTGTATTAATGTATTTTGAGAAGATTGCCATGTTTCTTTTCCTCTTTGGTGGGTGTTTGCTTTTGGTTTATGAATAATAGCTCCAAACATTGCCTTTTCATTTCTGAACTATAAGCAGGCTACTGTTAATGCTTGCATTCCTTTTCTTATATACTGCAGAAGTAAAGTTCATCCATGCCTAAAGAAAAACTACCCGTGTTCTGCTATGGGTAATCAATGTAAGTAAATTAATGATTCAATACGAGTTTCAATCAAAATGATCAAATCCATTGTCGAATCTTAAATTGAAGAAATTGTATTTCACTATGATTCAGTTCAGTTCACTATGATTTTCTATAATTTAGTTCGATTTGCATAATGTATGAAACGATGTCATTTTCGCAACATGAGAGAGAGAGAGAGAGAGAAATAAATTATGATTTTATTAGTATATACATGTATATAATTTAATTATATTGATATTTATTTCATTTTAAACATTATGTGTGTATTTTTGTAAGAAGATACATACACAAAATTATATATTGTGCTAAATAAAGTGAAACTTACGATCATGATTCACTGTTTTAGTAAAACGATTCACGATTTGACCACAATGTATGGGACGGAAGGGAACTCAGTTGCTTGCTAAAGTTAAACTGGTAAAATTAAGGAATATTGGATAATATCAGGATTTTGCAACAATCCATCAAACTTTTCTTAGATTTCAAGAAAAGGAAAATAATTGTGTATTTCCAATTCAAAGAAAGCACTTACTACAGGTTTGTTTCCCACTATTTTTCGTTAAGCTTGTTTTTGTAAATTCTGTTTAATTGTTAACTCTCAACAGATTATTCCTTGCACATTAACTGTGGTGGCAAGGAGGCAATCTTCAATAACAGCAAGTATGAAGCCGATTTAGAAGTGAGAGGTGCTTCAATGTTTTACTCAGGACAGAACTGGGCATTTAGCAGCACGGGGAACTTCATGGATAATGATCTTGAGGCTGATGTTTACATTGACGCTAACACTTCTACTCTGCATAATGTCTCTGCTACTGATTCAGAACTGTATACAACAGCACGTGTATCACCCCTCTCTCTCACCTACTATGGACTTTGTCTTGGGAATGGGAATTACACTGTCAGACTCCATTTTGCCGAGATTGTTTACACAAATGACCAGACATTTGACAGCCTTGGGAAGCGTATATTTGATGTCTATATCCAGGTAACCAAACTATACATAGCTAGAAAATAAGGGAGTCCCCTCTGAATTTTACATTAATTAATGTTAAATCCATTTATGTGTTTTGGAATATACAGGGAAAATTGGTGCTGAAGGATTTTAACATCGAAAATGAGGCTGGTGGGCCTGGTAATCCCATAGTTAAGAATTTTACTGCCGAAGTAACAAGCCACACATTGAAAATTCACTTTTACTGGGCTGGAAAAGGGACAACAGGCATCCCACAAAGAGGAGTGTATGGTCCTCTTATATCAGCTATCTCAGTTGACCCTAGTAAGCTATTTAAGTTCTCTTTGGTGCATCTTCTTCCTGCATTTCCTTCTGGTTAAAGCTCCTGGGAATTATATACTTGACTTATCATCACATCAAAGCTCTATAATGAATTATGAAATACAAAAATGGATCCAAATCTGTGTTGCTGAAATGGTTCAGCACTTACTATACCAAAAATGGGTCCAATAAAAAATATTTGTATATATGTAATATTTTAACTGGTATTAAATGAGATTAAATTTCTACCATATATATGCATCTATGTATTATTTAAGCCTTTTATTCAGTAGCCGATGAATCTGCAATATTTTCTCCTTGCACAGACTTTAAACCTCCTTCAGAGCATGGCAAGAAGATTTATGTCAGAGTAGTGGCTGGGGCTGTGGTTGGAGCAGTATTTATTGTCTTTCTCGTCCTAATTATTTTGTGGAGGAAAGGCTGGTTGGGAGGAAAGATATCTGCAGATAAAGGTACAACTCTCTATAGAATTAATCATAGTATCTTTCTCTCCTATGAAGCGTGGGAACTCCCAAAATTATGCCAGACCATGTATGTATAGTGAAATACCTATCCGGTACTGTTTAAAAAAAAAATTGAATGTTGGGTGCAGCTTGGGTACGACATGGGTTCGTATAGGGTACTTTTTGTGGGTACGTCGAGACATAAATGTAATTTTTTTTTTTAAATATAGGGGTACTGAAATAAATATATAATGTACTTTGGCCAAATGAACTGAAAATTATTATGAGAGTTGTTTTCTACTGAATTCAGAATCCAAAACAGGCTGTGTATTCTAAATTTATGGTTGTAGTTTTGAACCATCATAATACCTCTATCAATCATAGTCCATATAGCATGAATTATAAATATATTTTTAATTTTAAGATAGTTACATCATGAAGCATTCAAAATATCTCTATTCTTTTGTCATCATTACTTATGATTTTTGTTTTTGTGGGGGTGGCATGGAGATGTTTTTGTTCATCTTGAATTCTGTAGAAATTAATTTGAACAATTTTTACTCTTTACTGACATCTTGTAATGCACTTGAGACAGAGCTTAGAGGGCTGGATCTACAAACTGGATTGTTTACATTAAGACAGATAAAAGCTGCGACTACGAACTTTGATGCAGCAAACAAGATAGGGGAGGGTGGTTTTGGCTCAGTTTACAAGGTAATTTATTTTCAAAATATATAAACTTGCATCTGCTGGGAAGTGCAGATCTTTGAAAAATTAAGGTGATCCTTGAGTGATGATTTTTTTTATTATTAGAATCCACTAGTCATCCCTAATGATGCTTGAGCATAACATTGGAGTTTTTCTTTCACAAATGCAGGGTCTATTATCAGATGGAACAGTAATTGCAGTGAAGCAACTTTCCGCAAAATCTAAGCAAGGAAGTAAGGAATTTGTGAACGAAATAGGCATGATTTCTGGATTGCAACATCCAAATCTCGTAAAGCTGTATGGATGTTGTGTTGAAGGAAACCAGTTAATACTGATATACGAGTACATGGAAAACAATTGTCTATCCCGTGCTCTTTTTGGTGAGCCCTGGATCTCAACTTGACCAAGATGTGTATACCAATTAAACTAGTTAGGCAATGTTGATAGACACTAGAGAATTAACTATCTTGTCCTTTTCTTTTAACAGGACGTGATGCAATTTGCAAATTGAAACTAGACTGGCCTACCAGGCAGAAAATTTGCTTAGGCATAGCTAGGGGCTTGGCCTATCTCCATGAGGAATCGAGACTGAAGATTGTGCATAGAGACATTAAGACTAGCAATGTGTTGCTTGATAAGGAATTTAATGCTAAAATTTCTGATTTTGGCTTGGCAAAGCTTTACGAGGATGACAATACTCACATCAGCACTCGGGTTGCTGGAACTATGTAAGTCCTATAATAATTACCCTCATAAATTGTTCTTATTTCAGCTCAAACTTATCTGATATTAACGTTTGAAATTATGACTTGTATAGATGGAACTGAATACTTTGGCTTAGTTCCTGTGTGTGGAAAAGATAACTAAAAGCTTAACAAGAAGGATATCAATGTTGGGTATTAGAAGAACTCAACCAGACTAACATTCTTTAATTGAAAAAGAAGAATAAAATAAGAGGAAAAAAAAAAAAGGAAAAATAAATTTTCTACTAAACACCCTGTGGGAATAGAAATGTTTAAATATGGATTAAACAGCCTTTGACATGTGTTCATCTTTGATAATTTTTATCTGTGTCTTATAAAATTAATTTTATGATTTAAGTTCATTCTATACATGCATGGTTTGATACTTGAAACTATACAGATTATCTTAAAACTTCCATTGCCTTTTGTCTATGCAGTGGTTATATGGCTCCCGAGTATGCAATGCGTGGTTATTTAACAAACAAAGCAGATGTTTACAGTTTTGGAGTAGTAGCACTGGAAATTGTCAGTGGAAAAAGCAACACAAACTACAGGCCAAAGGAAGAATTTGTTTACCTTCTTGACTGGGTAATTAAGATCTCTTCAAAATTTTCGTTCTTATTTTTCAATACCGTCTTCCCGGTCTTTGCCACTATTTCAAAAAATTGCAGATTATTTCAATGCTAAACACTTTGTATTCATTGTCAATACTTATTTTTACGGAGTTGATCCTGTTTCGATATTTCTTCAGGCGTACGTTCTGCAAGAGAGAGGGAGTCTACTGGAGCTGGTTGATCCAGAATTGGGCTCAGAGTATTCATCAGAGGAAGCAATGGTGATGCTAAATGTGGCACTTTTGTGTACCAATGCATCACCAACTCTTAGGCCTACGATGTCTCAAGTGGTGAGCATGCTCGAAGGCCAAACTGCCGTTCAAGACCTACTTTCCGATCCCGGGTTTTCAGCCATCAATCCAAAGTTTAAGGCCATAAGAAATCATTTCTGGCAGAATCCAAGCCAAACACAAAGCATGTCAACCGATGGTCCATATAGTGACGATGGATCACTCTCAAACATAGATAAGGAAGAGATTAACATCCTTTTAAGAGTTAATTCAGTTATATCTGACAAGTAAAGTATATCATCATGTTATTAAAATTGTACATAACATTTGGAAAACCTTTTCTATATATCAATTAAGTAAAATAATTATGATGTTTAAACTATGGTTTAAATGCATGGGTGACTGTTTTGACTATTATTTTTTAATTTTCGGAGTTACGATTGTTGACAATGTAATAGGGTATAAAATAAAAGTTTCTCCATGGATAAATTGGAAGGTGTTATTTGAGATTAATTAATTTTTGTCACTCAACATTGGATGATGGAGTTTAGATCAATTTTCTTTTTATGCACCATCTTTTTTATCAAAGAGACAGTTTTATTGAGAGGTAATGCTAGGGACACCAAATTTTCTACCAAACAAATGACCAAATGTCTCACATGGGTGTGGGGTCCGCAATTTTGTAGACCCCATGAGATATTTGGTCATTTATTTAGTAAAAAATTTGGAACCTCTATCATTTTCCTTTATTGAGTGTTATTTATATATAAAGAGTTTTAGTTACGCACCGTGGGGTACACGTTTGTCGACGTTTGTCATGATTAACAAAAGGTAGAACAAAATAGGGCATGTTAGGGCATATTACAAGAGAGCCCTCTACGAATGTAGCAACATATTTCGCCTCTTAATACACATACTAAATTTAAATAGTCTAATTACGTCTAAGTAGTAACTTGCAATTAAAGACCAAAGGTTGTTTCAACTTCTAGTTCTATGTTTCAAAAATCATATTGTCATGTTAGTGAGAGACTAGTTCTTATACTCCAAATACTTATATTTTACTCGTATCCAAGAAACCAGTCACCATTGCTAACACATTATTACATACTTCCTAACAGTACGCTTGCTTACTTAAAAATTTCATCAAATTCTATTTGAAACTTCTAAATTTATCCAGAAGACTTCTATTTATCAATTTTGGTTAAAAAAAAAAAAACTTATTTTAACCCTTGATTCAATGAAAATTTTGATAAAACTTAATTTGATACAAATTTAATGAAATAATTGGAGTCCAGTTTCGCCAATGTTTCTATCAAATTTAATTCTAATAAAACATTTGGTAATCTAAAAAAAAAAAAGAAATTATGTGAAATAAACATATAAGTAATTTTTTTTTAAACTTATATTTTAATAAACAACATCTCCCATAAAAAAATAAAAATAAATAGTAAACATTATATTATAAAAAAATACATAACCAATCAAGTTATTTGTCAGCAAAATTTATTTTACTTTTTTCCCAAGAAAAACTTTGAAGCTCTACATTTTCATCGATTCTCAATTTCTCACCGTTTCTAAACCCTCGATTGGTAAAATCTAGCAAACAAACAACAGAAAAGAAGTGGGAATTATAATGATTCAGTTGAAGATGGAGAGATTCTTCAAATTCATGGTGTTCTCTTTCTTTCTTCTTTGTTCGTTATCTCTCTGTAATGCGATTGCTTCAAGATCTTCTTCTTCTTCATCATCAACCACAAGGCACACCAACAATTGGGCTGTCTTGGTCTGCACTTCTCGCTTCTGGTAACACTTCAATTTCCCCCTTTTCACTCTTTCTCTTTATACTCTGATAAAATTGAAGTTCGAAATTAGGCATTTCTGTGAAGTACATGATAGAGACAACTGGGGTTTGATTTGATTTCCACATTACACATTCTAAATTTTTGAAATGCTATTTTCGAAGGAAAGAGAGGGAATTTTCGCAGTTGATATCGAAATTAGGGTGTCATGCCAAGTGTTTGCTGGGGTAGTGGGGTTCAATTTGTATTTATACCATCTAAAGACTCTAAATTTGGGAGTTTTCAATTTTTCTGGATTTTCTGAATTTTGCTGTTAGAATTTTCTGGACAGCAACTCTATTTATTTATTTATTTTTAAAATTTGTTGTGACAAGGGTTATAGAGTAGATAAAAGGAGGGTGTTATGATAATATGCTCTCAGATTGGGAAAAATCAATAAGATAGGAGCTTTCAGGTGCTGTGAACCAATGGTGAAGCTGGTTTTTTCTTCTTTTATGTTCTACCGTTGAATGAGGAAGATAAAGAAAAAGAAGAAGAAAAAATGTTAAGAGATCTTCAAAAGCTTCAGAAAGTTTTCAAAATATGTTATTTATTGAATTGAAAGCATTGTAACTTTAAGGGGTCCAAACTCTAACAGGATTATGGCTTTCAAATTAGAAACTTAAGATTTTGACTTCTACTACTCTTCTAATCCAACTAAAGGCCATATTGAAAGTTTTGATAATGTAACTTGACCCAACTTATGATTCATGGATTGTAACTGCATCCTACATTGGGAAAACTAAAGAAAACCTACAAGTGACTAGGGGTATATGTCAACCTAAATGATCATGCAAATGGGTACTTTGTAAAATCTGGAAAGTTGATTATGCAATGTCACAATAGGCTTCACCTTGAAATCAAACCGTATTCCCATGATTTTTCACATTGTCAAATTTGATTGGTTTTTGCCTGTTGTGGATGTGTCATCAGCTTCTCACAAAATTTAATATTTTCTGTGCATCCAAAAATACTAGATGTTCCTAAGTTTACCTTCTATTTATTTTTTTTATTTTTTTGATAAATAAGCATTTTACTGTGTCTTTGATGCTGTTAGTCAACAAGATGCCAAATTTGAGCCACCTTGTGATTGGTTTTAAGATTGAGTATTCTATATGACTCTACCTTGAAAGTGAACTTTCTTTTTCATTTTTGATGTTCAGGTTTAATTATCGGCATATGGCCAATACCTTATCTTTATACAGGTATGTGACCATTTCGTTATCAATTCCTATGTTTATTTTAAATTTTGTCCAGCATACTTAGTTTTTCCAATTAAAATTGTTCATTTTGTGAAATTTTCAATTCAGGACAGTAAAAAGGCTAGGAATACCTGATGAGAGGATAATTCTTATGTTGGCTGATGATATGGCTTGCAATGCCCGGAACAAATACCCTGCCCAAGTCTTCAACAATGAGAACCACAGACTGAACTTGTATGGAGATAATGTTGAGGTGGCCTTTGTTTCTTTACTTGGAACTTGTGAATGTTATTTTGGGCAGTCATATGATCTTTGTCTTATTAAACATTCAAATATAGTTCCCACTTCACATATCAAAAAAGAGCAGAATTTGTTCCTTAGAGGTTCACATTCAAAATGACGGGAGACTTTGAATAAGATGGTTTTCAAAGTCATGGTTGTGGCACTAATTTTCGGATAGAGTGTTAACTTCATAAATGTCTCTCAAATTTATGTTGCCTTTACTGTGCTAGTTCTTTATGATTTTATTGATTTGTGGATTTTCTTGTAGAATCTTTTTTATTAAGCATAGTCAATCTTCTCAGTCCCCCAAGCTTGTGTTGGGTTAAGAAGCACGGACACTTCTAAGAAGGTGATGTATCCGTGTCGGACACCGACACTCTTTGGATACTTCCCCGACACGTGTTCGACACTCTTCAAAACGTGTCCTATATTTTAAAGACCCGGACACTCTTTGGACACTTGGAGGACACACGTGTGTATCTGTTAAACACACGTGTCTATCAATTAGACACATATGAAACTAATTATAATTTGAACAAAACAAATTAAGATACAAATAATAAAACAAAAAGTATATAAATTTATAAGAATTTGTGTCATATTGCATTTTTTATTATCTTTGAATGATATATTCATATATATAATATATAACAAATATATAAAATTATATATTTCATGCGTGTCTCCCATGTGTCGTATCTTGCATTTTTTGAAAATTAGCATGTCGGCGTGTCCGTGTTGTGTCGCGTGCCCGTGTCCATGCTTCTTAGGTGTTGGGTTTCAGCTGTAGTGCTGTGCTTGAGAGCACAAATAGAAGACATTGGATATATGAATGTTTAAAAGGATGATCATATGTTTTGGTTCATGAAAAATTTTTCATTCAAGGATTTGTTTTTAGTTGGCAATATTATGGCCATTAAAAAATCAAAGAAGCTTTTGATTTTTAAATGTTGTTGAATGCCGACATAAATATGGGTATTTGTTTACAGCTTAACTACCATTTCCACCTTCCTCTTTTTTATTTACTATTGGGTGTATTCATTAAGCAACCAAGCCGTTGTACTGGATGGGCTGGTCCTCTGCCTTCTTTGTTGTTGATATTATCAGCAGCTTTTCTTGTTAATAGACAAGTGCAAAGTTCCCACAGTTGCCAATTGTGATGTCAATTTCCCTGATATTGTGTATATATGAGATTGGCTTTTTTTTCATGACTATAAAAGGTTAACTAATATGCTGCTAATGCTTAATGCTAAACATTAATCCACTCTTTAATGTATCATTCATTTAGTGTATTAAGCAACTAGCATGCCATTTTCGTATTTGGTAACGTAATTTTAGAAGTTTTCCTACACTTGCACATTCTAGATTGTATTCTGATTTTTCCATGCTCTGATATTGTCAGGTAGATTATCGAGGTTATGAAGTGACAGTTGAAAACTTTTTGCGAGTTTTAACAGGGCGTCATAAAACTGCAGTTCCAAGGTCAAAACGGCTTCTAAGCGATGAAGGAAGCCACATACTTCTATACATGACAGGACATGGGGGAGATGAATTTTTAAAATTTCAGGACTCAGAGGAGCTTCAAAGTCACGATTTAGCCGATGCAGTGAAACAAATGAAGGAAAAGCGTAGGTGAGAGCACGTCCTAAATGCTACATCTGTCTGTTTGGTCTTTTCATACTAATTAAATTTCATTATATTTTGATTGTGCAATAGAAAGACAATATGGTTTCAAACAATCATGACTAAGCATATAAATATAATAATTGCTATTAGTTAATTGTGATTCTAGAAAGGTCTGTTATATATATATATGTCGGTCTTATGTTGAAATTTTAATAGGTATATAATATAATGAGGCCTTCTTCGTGGGTGTATTCAATTACTAGTTAAGCGCTCCTTTTTAAATGTTAATCTTCACTTTCAAGTAGTGAGCTTACACGCTCTTGATTATGATCAAAATTCAGATTCAAGGAGCTGTTGATAATGGTTGACACTTGCCAAGCTGCTACTCTCTTTTCTCAGGTTTGTGGTTATCTTTCTAAATGCTGTGACTATTCTATTTGTGTAATATTCTACGGACTCCTATTCAAGTTTTAAGTTCACATTTTGTCTGCTTGTTTGGGAATTTAATTTAATAGACCAGTTTGAGCGAATATCCTGGTAAGTGGTTTGAATGAAATACCAATTTTACCCCCAGTTTCTTGAAGATGCACACTCCACAGTCCATATGATAAAGACTACAAGAAACCTATGAAAAGCCAGGGTAGAGGCTTGCTCATATTCACATTGTTTCATACCTTCTTTCTTAGACAGTTGGCTTGGCTGAATCTCCCAGTTTTTTAGAATACTTATTAACCTCATTAACTCTTAAACTGGTCTGCTTTTCCTTGCTAACTGGTGTTTTGGTTTCAAAATGGTCCTTAATGGTAGAGAATTTCACTTGCATTCGTTCTGGGTCAGCCAGTTTAATCCCCATTGGATGAGGGTCTGGAAGGGGTACATTGGTTACATACTTGACCTTTGACATTATTTGAAAGTGGTTGTCCTCAGGTTTGAACCCATAATCTCAAGGTTGATAGACTGAGCTTTAACCACTGAACTATTGTCCCGCTACTTCCTCCTTTTATCTTTTAATCAAATATCTATGTCGTTGATTAAAAAAATATATATATATCTTGAGAATTAGTCTTGATGTGGAGTGGAATATCATTTCTTTCCTTGCAGCTTCAATCTCCTGGTGTTTTGACTATTGGAAGTAGCATGAAAGGAGAAAACTCTTACTCACATCACTTGGACTCTGATGTAAGTATAGACTTACTGGCATTTCCATTTTGCAACTGATATGTGATGGAATAATTTTATGCTTGGGGATGCTGTAATCCATTTCGTTATGATCGTTGTCTATGTTACTGTAACTTATTTTTTATTACAATCATTGTCTATGTTTCATCGTGTATCTTTGGTTACTGTCTCTTATTCAAATTGTTTCTTTGTTACAGGTTGGTGTCTCTGTTGTGGATCGCTTCACATTTTATACCCTTGCTTTCTTTGAAAGGCTAAATATATACGATAATGCTCCATTGAGCAGGTATGCTGCAATATGACATTTCCAAATGATCCACTTCTGCTGTTACTGCCTGCAGGCTGTTTTTCATTTTTCTATTATTTCCTTAATTAATCTAGTCTTCACCTTTAGTTGCCTCATTATTGGCATGTGGCCTGTAGGTATAGTTAGTTTTTCCTTTTTTATTGCAATATCGGTGGTGTCAAGCACTGCTACTCCTGTGGTTTGCTTTGGGTTGGAGTTCAACAAGGCTCAACCCAAGTTATACTGACACTTGATGGAGGCCAAGCCAAGGCCAACCTCCACTTGGAGATCAACCCTATTTCAATTTTATAAGATTGTAGTAATTACCAGTTGCATATAAGATTGGAGCTACTCAAATTGGATTGGTTTGACATGGGGTTCTAAAATGGTATTCAGTGCTTATTTTCTTACGATAGTTATGAAGTTCAGTACTTAGAATGTATTTATTCTTCTGTTATTCATTGTCTATGAGAAAGGAATATCAAAAACTATAGAACTAATGGATCAAAGAATGGATTTTCAATAACCTAAGACAAAATGAAAATTCTATGGGAGTATGGAAATTCTATTGTTGAATACTAACAAATCCTAGAAAATTGACTTTTAGAAAGTTGTTGAATTTCTTGCCTATCATGTAGGTGTTATACCCTGCAAACAGAGCAGAATGTTTCTTGAACTTCCCAATATCTTTGGCCAATAGTTACTCTAGAGTTCAATAGGGAAAATTTTGTATCTCCTGCCATGATGCAAGTGCTATCTGCCCTTAGCCTTGTGGTATGGATTCAAGACACGAGAGTTTTCCTCTCCACTATAAAGTGGCGGTAAGGCTGCCTACCTTCTACATCTCCCAGACCCTCCTGTAAGCAGGAACCTTGTGCATTGAGTATGAACTTAGGTGCTCCATTAGGATGACTTTGTCCATTTAAGATATATTGGAACGTTGTTTGTTCTGTCAGTTGTACTGGAAATATCCATTTTGAATATTTATTCTGGGTGATCTTCTGGCAAGATTATTTGTTTGCATCAATTTGAAACTTGTACAATGAACGATGAATTTTGTGGTTATTTGCAGTCTTTTCGGTTCATATAATCCAAGTATGTTGATGTCAACAGCATACTATCGAACAGATCTATACCAACGACAATTGCAGGAGGTATGAAGTTCCAGATCTGCTGTTTTCTTTTTCTATTTTTATTTCGATGGCTAATTAGATGAAATATTGAAGTGAGGAAGGGAGACCAACCCAAGTACACCACAAAAGTATAAAAGAGCTTGACAAGACCAGCAAATCCATGGTGATTTTAGGGGAAAGAGGCCTTTAAAATAACTATGGTTGGAAAGATAGCGTATGAAATCTTACTCTTGATGGTAAAATGATGGAAACCCAAGAAATCAAAATACATAACTATAAGAAATTGTTGTGACACAGTGATAGTCAACTTTGATGAACATAAAAGCTGGAACTAAACAGAAAATGAAAATGAAACATTAAACCTTTTCTCAAGTTAAGCTCTACCTTTTAGCTAGATTTTGCCATGATTACTTTATTATTGTATACAGTGTTGTCAGATTTGTACAATATCCAATACATGTCATATACATTATCACTCAGTAGATTAGTAGATTATGTATCGTATGAAGAAAGATACGTTTCCATATCGCACCTTTGAAGTAGATTATGAATTGTCAAAATCATCTCTAAAGAGGCTGTCCAAACTGCAAAGGACCACCTTGGATGGAACTTTCACCCATGTTTCTATATCACTTATTGGCAATAAATCAGACAATATTCTGCATTCATTGCTTAAATTGCAGCTTCAAGCATTCTGCAGCTTATAGTCATTACTGCGAAGGACCACCTTGGATGGAACTTTCACCCATGTTTCTATATCACTTAGTAGCAATAAATCAGACAATATTCTGCATTCATTGCTTAAATTGCAGCTTCAAGCATTCTGCAGCTTATAGTCATTTTCTTTAAGAGTAGACATGATGGCCCCAACCCAATGCCACAGAAACAATTTTTTTTTATTTTTTATTTTTTAAAGAAGATTTTTTTTTGGTACTTGTATTCTCTTTAATATGAGTATCCAAATCATGCGATTGTTTTTCAACATATCTTTCTATAATCAAGAACTTCCATTACCTTTAGCCTCTGTTGGTATCTCATTTCTGAAAAAGGAATCTTATGAACAATGTTGGTTGTCATATATTTCCTTGCTTGATGAAATCTGCATAATAAAACAAGCACAGCTTACAGCTTCATAGGAAAAGGTTCCTCAAAATTTTTATTTTTATTTTTATTTTTTTTCTTGGGGAAGGGGTTGGATAAGTTTTTTTGGTCCTATAACACCTTCCAAAATCCCAGCCATTCTAGTAGTTTCTTTCTGCATAAAATGCTAATGACAATTTTTGAGATCCATCCACGTGCCATAGGTTATATGAGCTGTACTATTATGTAGTGGGCTTGGGGTTCTTATAAACCAACCAAGATTAAGCATTCCTCCTAAAATAAATTGATCTAATTGGAGGAAATTCTTACTAATTTGCCGTTCCCACCTCATTAGGTTCCTGTCACAAACTTCTTTGGTTCAGTCATGGAAACTATTCACACTGATTCGTCTTATAGAGCCCTCTCAGGCAGAGAGTCCCGCAAGGATAAAATCAAAATGCCGTTTGATCCATCAGCCAGCCTGCATGACCAGAGAACATCTTTAAATTCAAATGGCCAGCAAGAAATTAATGGCTCAAACAAAAAGGTGAGTTCTGTCAGATTCTTTACAAGAAAAAAGTGTCCTATTAAAATTCAGTTGCACTTACTTGTGTTGTGAACCTTACTTTGTTATACGGGTGATGATGATACTGAGGGCAAACGATGCATGTTGTAGGATCAAGAGGTTGCTTGTCCTTTTACACGCATGATGGCTACATTTCATGACAAGATGGAAAAAATTGAAGATGTTGACACCTTGGTCAACTACGGATTTATATTAATGCTGCCATTGGTGGCAGTTTCCACTTGGCTATCACGGTGAAGGTGAGATGTGATTTCCTTTCTGTTTGGTTTTTCTCTTGTGCTGAAATATTCTGGTGTTTGCACATAATAAGCAATCAATATATTTTTCATTTTAGTCTAGATTCGTCAAGTTTACATAGCCTAATTGATCTTTCCATCTCCGTGGACAGCCTTTAGGACACGAGACGGACACTTTGAGTTCGTTGTCATGCCTTCTGGTTGACCATGAGCCTGTGATTTTCATGGATCTCATGAACCACGTCTAGGGTTGCAAATGAATAGAACCGTTTGTAAACAGACTTGAGTTCAGCTCAGTAAGAGCTTGTTCGAACTCGGTTTATTAATTTGTTTTTGCGTTCGAGCTCGAACTTGAACTCGAGCTCGTTAAATTTTTAATAAACAAACCCAAATATGCTAAAGCTCGACTTATAAGCACGGCTCGTTAGCTGGTTCGTTTAACATTTATTATTTATATATTAAATAATGTAAAAATATGTATAAAAAATTAGATAAATATGTTATTTATATATTTAAAAAATATAAATGTAAAATAATAGTTAATTATAGATAGTACATTTACATAATAGTGGTGATAGATATTATTATTTTGGTAAAATGTTGTCTTTTTGTAGTATGTTTATATGTTGTATATATAATTATATAATCAAAATTTTAATTGTAACTTTAGTCTCATACACAAGTATGAATTTAAATTTTTTTTGTTCGTTAAGGCTCGAGCTTGAGTCAAGCCTAAGTCAATTCAGCTCGAGCTCGGTTTGTTAAATTTTTATTAAGAGCTCCAACTCATTAAAATTTTAATAGACAAGCCCAAACACACTAAAGGTCGGCTCGGCTCAGCTCGGCTCGTTTGCAGTCCTAACCACATCTACCACCCTTTCCTGGACCATTTATATTCTGGTGTTTGCACATAAATAAGCAATCAATATATTTTCCATTTTTAGTCCAAATTCATCAAATTTACATGGCCGAATTGGATCTTTCCTTCTCCTTGGTATTTGTTGATTTTTTTTCAATTTGTGTCCCACAGATGAAATGTAGTCTGCTTATTTGTTTTACATACTGGCTTCTCCATTGATGAGTTTCAAACATCTTGATGCACGACCTTTGTGTTATTCTTATGTAGAACTTTATCGGTCCTTTTAAAAATTTCCAGGTACACAATTAGGAACTACTTTCATCCAATTCAGACTAGACTTCTCACATTTGGTCTCTAAGTGCCCTTTTTTTTGGGATCTCTGTCCTATACTTTATCCGATTTTGATCTATTGCACATGCTTCGGGTTTACAAAATGGTGTTGCAGGAACTAAACAACCTCTGAAAGGCACGGGTTACGAGCAAATTTATTTAATCAGAGGAAACTACCAATCAGTGAGCCTGGGTCATCATGGTAGCTGTTGAAAGTCTTGATGGGACAGAGAACTGAATCAGTGATGCACATTACCCTCAATCTGCGCTTGCCGAGCATTTCAAGAAATGTCTGGGATCCTACCTAGCAGTCATTAATAGCTTCATTTTTTTTTTTTTTTTTTTA